CATTTGTTCGACACTTAACTACACCTTTGAGACTCACAACTTCTTTGTTCGACATTTGAGGATTTTAGGGCATGACTTTAATATCATGTTAGGAATCACGAATCTTTAAAATGGTATGATATTGTCCACTTTGAACATAAAATGCTCATGACTTTACTTTTGGTTTTTTCAAAAAGCCTCGTACCAATGGAGATATATACATTACTTATAAATCCATGATTAACATCTTAATTAGTGATCATTGGGACTCCTCTCCCAACAATCCTCAACAATCCTCTCATCGAATAAAATACACCATAAAATCTCCCATGAGGCCTATAAAGCCCGCAAATAGTCTCTCCTTAATCAACTTAAGGAGCCCTCAAACAGTCTCCCCTAATCGAGACCCAACTCCTATTCTCTAGAGTCTTCGAACGAAGTATATTCTTTGTTTCCCATTTTGTTCCCCATTTAAGTTACTTTTGACTACACTTTCGAGGCTCACAGCTTTTTTGTTTAGTAATGAGAATTCTATTGACATGGCTAAGTTAAGGACATGTTAAGAATCACAAACATTCACAATGATATGATATTGTTCATTTTGAGCATAGGCTCTCATAGATTTGTTTGCGTTTGTTTGTTGGTAATAGGTACTTCACAGTGACAGGGCAGAAGGCAGACGAAGAGACAATAGAGAATTTGATATCAAGTGGGGAAAGCGAGAGCTTCCTGCAGAAAGCAATTCAAGAACAGGGTAGAGGTCAAATAATGGATACCATTTCAGAGATTCAAGAACGACACGACGCAGTGAAGGAGATCGAGAAGAATCTGCTTGAGCTGCATCAGATATTCTTGGACATGGCAGCACTGGTGGAGGCCCAAGGGCACCAGCTGAATGACATCGAAAGCCATGTGGCTCATGCCAACTCCTTTGTGAGAAGAGGAACAGAGCAACTCCAAGAAGCTCGCGAGTATCAGAAAAGCTCAAGGAAATGGACTTGCTATGCCGTCATATTGGGTATCGTTCTACTCATCATTCTTCTGCTACCAATATTGAATGTGATTTTGCCTCATTTGTTGTAGAAACATTTGTTTGGTTGGTCGGTGTGAGTGAAAGAGGCGTTTTCTGAGGATGGTTTGGTTGGGGGTTTGGTACATAGCTGTAAATGTGTTCATTAGAAATTTTCTTGCAATTGGATCCTCAGCTTTGGATTTGGATGTCTTCTTAGTTGCTGGAAACATGAATGTACAGCCAAACATCAAATACAACAATTTCATCTCTATTTATTTTCATTCATTTTGTATCCATTCAATTCATTATAAAAATAAAGAAATTTCGTATTTCCTCCGCCAACCGATCAAAATTTACCCCGATCATGACAACATTCCTTTAAAGGTTTCTATACCCTTGTAAAGAATGTTTCGTTCTTCTCTCCAACCGATGTGGGATCTTACAATCTACCCCCCTCCCGAGGTCTAGCGTCCTTGATGGCACACTGTCTCATGTCCACCCCATTTGGGGCTCAGCCTCTTCGCTGACACATCGTCCGGTGTCTTGCTCTGATATCATTTGTAACGGTTCCAGCTCACTACTAGCAGATATTGTCCTCTTTGGGTTTTCTCTTTCGAGCTTCTCCTCAAAGATTTTAAAACATGTCTGCTATAGAGAGGTTTCCGCTCTTATAAATAATGTTTCGTTCTCCTCCCTAACTGATGTGAGATCTTACAATCCACCCCCCTTCGAGGTTCAGCGTCCTTGATGGCACACCGCCTCGTGTCCACCCCCTTTGGGGCTCAACCTCCTCGCTGACACATCGCCTTGTGTCTACCTCTGATATCATTTGTAACGATCCAAGCTCACTACTAGCAGATATTGTCCTCTTTGGGTTTTCCCTTTCGAACTTCTCCTCAAAGTTTTTAAAACGTGTCTACTATGGAGAGGTTTCCACACTCTTATAAATAATGTTTCGTTTTTCTCCCTAACCGATATGAGATCTTACAATTCACCTCCCTTCGAGGTCCAGCGTCCTTGATGGCACACCGCCTCATGTCCACCCCCTTTCAGGCTCAACCTCCTCGCTGACACATCGCCCGGTGTTTGGCTTTGATATCATTTATAACGGTCCAAGCTCATTGCTATCAGATATTGTCCTTTTTGAGTTTTCATGTCGGCTATGAAGGAGTTTTCACACCCTTATAAAGAATGTTTGGTTCTCCTCCCCAACCAATGTAGGATCTTGCAACTAATAAGAACAATGAACCGCAACAATAGTGTAGTGACCCTTATTTGTATATACTTATGATCTCCTTCTTAATTAGTCAATATGAAACTCCAACTTATGATACTAAGAAAGTTGCCCTTTTAAAGGGCGTGGATCGTATCATATGAGAAGGTAGGAGGGGATTTAACTTGAATCGATTGGTTGGGTTTAACCCAATTTAGTTTTAGACCAACTCAACCCATAAAGTTTTCATTTATTTGAAAAAAAAAAACTCAATCTAAATAAGTTCATAATCCAACTCAAACGGTCAAATTAAACCGAATTAATCCAATTTTTTTTGATCATTTAATATTTTTAACGCTAACATATATTGTTCGCTTTAACCCGTTACATATCAACCTCACAATTTTAAAACGTGTTTACTAAGGAGGGGTTTCCATACTCTTATAGTGCATGTTACGTACTCGCCTCACGGTTTTAAAACATGTCTATTAGAGAAAGGTTTTCACATCCTTTTAAGGAATATTTTGGTACATCATTCAGTGTCTACTTTATTTCATCGTCTTTTAAATTGAAATAAAACAGTAAAAATATTATGAATTGAAAATATAATTAGATTATTAATCAACACTAAACCAATTAGCTTATGGTGGAAAATTCATATATATAGTCTAATGTGTCTTAATCAATGACATTTAAGTTAATCTAGAGATAATGTTAAAGTCAAAAATGGAGGCTAACTTCCTGTTGATGACATCAACTTTGGACCAATATTCTTACGGGTATAAAATTTGTGAGATCCCACATCGGTTGGAGAGGAGAACGAAACATTTCTTATAAGGGTGGGAAAATCTCTCCTAGCAAATACGTTTTAAAACCGTAAAGCTGACGACGATATATAACAGGCCAAAGCGACAAATATCTGCTGGTGGTGGAAAAACAAAAGAGGTTTGGATTAGATTGTGTCACGTTGAGTTGTGAACTCTATTCGAGTTAGTCTGATTCACCCACTCAGTCCATGTACACCCCTAATGTATATAAAATAATGAAAAGTTACCAAAATTGATACAATTTTTTAGATAAATATGGTCTATTTTCGTGAGGGTATGCATAAGCACACATCATCATGAACACATTGATATCAAGAACAAAAGATAATATTACCAAATGGGACCTAACTCGATCTTTTATTATTGAGAAGTGATGTCGTTCCTATGTAATCCTAAGATGAGCAAAAGCATTAGGCATAAAAATGTAAAGGGAAGCAACAAAGATAAGCTTGCCTTCTTTTTCAATCCATTATTGGTGAGTTTGTCATATCTCATTCATTTCACATGCTTTAACAGACGCGTTTTAAAACTATGAGGCTTACGACGATACATAATGGGTCAAAGCCAACAATATCTACTATAAGTGGATTTAGACTGTTACAAATGGTATCAGAGTCACACACCGAACAATGAGTCAGTGATAACATTGAAACTCCAAAAGGGTAGATTGCGAGATCCAATATCAGTTGGAGAGGGGAATGAAACATTCCTTATAAGGATGTGAAAATCTCTACCTAATAGATGCATTTTAAAACTGTGAAACTGATGACGATATGTAACGGACTAAGCGTAACAAGTCTCCCACTTTATGTTTAACAAAATAACGTCATTATGAGCTCATAATGACTCTTTATTTATTTATTTATTTATTTTTTTGACATACGTAAATGGAAAAAATCTAATTTCAAACTTGATTTTGTTTTTTTGTGTTGGATTTGATGGGAACTTGGGGTTTTCTTTCCCATTTATAAAGTTACCATTAGAATGAAAACATTCTAAGAATTTTAACCATCAATAGTAAATTAATAGACCATTTTAGTTTTTACCCTTTCAAATATTTGTTTGCGAGTAACATCGAAGCTAATCTAATGGCGAACATCTTGCTTAGTGTGAGATTCCACGATGGTTAAAAAGGGGAACAAAACATTTCTTATAACGGTGTGAAAACTTTTCTCTAGTAGATGCATTTTAACATCGAGAGGCTAACTTCGATGCGTAATAGGTCAAAGTAGACAATATCTATTAGCGGTGGACTTGAGCCAGCAAGGATACAGACCCTCACGAGGAGTGGAAGCATTTCTTATAACGATGGGACTGGACCCTCAAAAAAGTGGATTGTAAACATATTGCTATCCAAAGGAGCCGAAATCTATCAACATTGAAAAGTGATGTTCGCCTTATGTAATCGTAAGATAAGCAAAAGCATGAGCATTTTATTGGATTTTGAAAGTGACCCCAAAACCAATCCGGAAGCAATGGAATCTTGTAATGTAAAGATTAGGAAGAGTTTTAAACTCTTAACGAAACTAAGACGTGTATTATGCCGAGATGTTAATCACAAACATGTTTTAGAAGTTTTATTATCGCAGGTGTTCATCAACGATGAAAGTAGCTAAACTTTCTCGAGTTTTGAAGAATGGTTCTGCACTGACCACCTAAAGTGCAAAATAGACTTAGAATCCCTAAATTGATTTGTATTATGTGTCGGGTACGCGAAAATTTGATTAAATGACCTATTTACGACTTTGTTTACAAAAAAGACTCGTTAAGGTAGTAGTTTAAACTTGAAAGGTATGTACACTTATTACATGATAAAGACGTCATTTTCAAGTTAATTTTTAATAATTATATCTAATTGATTATTAATTATTTATCTAATTGAACGAGAGTAGAGAGAGATTTCTCAAACAGGCCCATTCCTAGCCTCTCAGCCTCTCTTGTGAAACTATATATACACTTGCTCCTCTTCCAGCTACCTTCAAGCCCTCCTTCCTTTCCGAGCTTCCCTTTGTTTGAATTCCTCTTCCCCCTCCACTGATTATGCCCTTACATACTGCAAAATTCGCCATTAATGTCCGCCATAGCTTCCATTTGAGCAGAATGAACAGCACTAACATACCCAACTATGCAGACCTCCATAATTCTTCCCCCAAGCTCCCATCTCGCATTTCTTGTACAACATCTAAACAGCTCGGTCCTTTGATTTATGGGTCGGAATCACTTTCTCAAGAACTTCAAATCTCTGTTGGAGCTGTTCAGATGGCTTGCTTTCTTTGTCAGCGAGTTCAGAGCAACTTGCTCAACAACAACGCCCATATTCAAGCCAAGGATGACCACTCCCCTGTTACTGTCGCTGGTAATTCGTTTGGGTTTTCTTCTTTTCGCATAACGGTTAGATTGTTGAAAAGGAGTGACAGGTTGGTACGAAGCCTTTTGAAAAAACCAAAACTAAAGCTACGAGAGTTTATATTCAAAGTGAACAATATCATACATAGAGAGTCATGATTCTTAACATAGTATTAGAGTCATGCCCTTAACTTAGTCATGTCAATAGAATCTTCAAATGTCGAACAAAGGGTGTACTTTGTTCGAAGACTCTAAAGAAAGAGTCAAGCCTCGATTAAGAGGAGGCTGTTCGAGGAGTTTCATAGGTCTTAGGGGAGGCTCTATAGTATACTTTGTTTAAGGGGAGGATGGTTGAGGATCGTTGGGAGGGAGTCCCACATTGGCTAATTTAGGTAATGATCATGGGTTTATAATCAAGGAATAGTATCTCCATTGGTACGAAGCTTTTTGTGGGAAGCCCAAAGCAAAATCACGAGAGCTTATGCTCAAAGTGGATAATATCTGTTTGTTTGTTAGTTCATTTCAGACATAGTTGTCGGTTTCTTGCTTTCAGATTGGAGCGTTCAGGCAATTATCAGCTGGGTTCTATCCAAATCTTTTGGGAGTAAAAACGTGTCAATTGTTGCTGAAGAAGATGTCCAGACTCTTTCCAAGCCTGATGCAGGCCAACTCTTGGAATGTGTAGTGGAAACCGTAAATGAGTGTCTTTCTGAAGCCCATCGCTTTGGATTGGAACGTCCAGAAAGAACCCTCTCTACTTCTGAGGTTCTTGAAGCCATCGCCCAATGCAGCCACTCATCTGATGGATCAACTGCAAGATTTTGGACCCTTGACCCTGTGGATGGCACGTTGGGGTTCATACGAGGCGATCAATATGCTGTAGCTCTAGCCTTGATAGAAGATGGAGAGGTGGTGCTGGGTGTCCTGGGATGTCCAAATTACCCAATGAGAAGAGAATGGCTATGCTACCATCCTCGTTACCATCGGATCATATCGAAGCTATCAGCTGCAACATCGGAGTGTTGGGACAAAGGCTGCGTGGTTTATGCTCAAAAGGGTAGCGGTGTAGCGTGGATGCAGCCATTAGTTCGTGCAAATAAGAGCTTAGTATGGCCAAACTATGCTATACCAATTCAACTGTCTTCCGTTGACGATCCAGCTATAGCGACGTTTTGCGAGCCAGTTGAGAAAGCAAATTCGAGCCATTCATTCACAGCAGGACTTGCTCATAGCATCGGACTTAGGTACAGAGCTTTTCTTGTATTCTATTTGTTAGGAACTACGAATCTCCACAATGGTATGATATTGTCTACTTTGAGTATAAGCTTTCGTGGCTTTGTTTTGGGTTTCCCCAAAAGGCCTCGTACCAATGGATATGTATTATTTACTTATACACCCATAATCGTCCCCTGTTTTTGAAGACCATATGATTATGATGTTTGGCTGTAGAAACCAACCATTGAGAGTGTACAGCATGGCGAAGTATGCAACCATAGCTCGTGGTGATGCTGAAATCTTCATGAAGTTTGCCAAGGCTGGTTACAAGGAGAAGATATGGGAACATGCAGCCGGTGTGGTTATCATACAAGAAGCTGGTGGTGTTGTCACGGATGCAAGAGGTCGTCCGCTCAACTTCTCGAATGGTATGTATTTGGAACGTCTCGATCGAGGAGTCATTGCTTGCTCTGGAGCTAACCTGCATGATAAGATAATCAGAGCTATTGACGCTAGCTGGAGTTCGTCTTGTCTATGATATCATGGCTTCATTATATGATATCATGACTTCCATCTTTGGACACTTTTCAATAAATCTCTCCTAGGACTTCCATGGAAGCTGCCGTATAGGCTTGTACTTGTAAAATCGTGCTCATGTCTATAGTTTGAATGAAGCCTCTTCATCTTTTAAACTTTTTCTAAGGAAACTTTGCAAAGGGTCCATAAACTCGAGTTGTTATTACACATCCTTTCATTTTAATCGTTGAATTTAAACCCAAATGCACAAACCAGGAATAAAATTGTAACCGCCTAAACCCACCGTTAACCGATAGTCTTCTTAAAACGTGTCTATTAAGGAGAGATTTCCACACCCTCGTAAAAAAATGTTTCATTCTCTTCTTCAACTGATGTGAGATCTCGAGAAATTTTCACAATCTTATAAAGAATGTTTCATTCTCATCTCCAACCGACGTAGGATCTCAAGGTAAACTTTCGTTGACATGTCAGACGTTTCCATCCCTTATACTACAAAAATTGATGAAATAATAAATACTTGAATAAGATGGCGAATCACTAGTAGTGCCAACAGGAGTATAACACAATTGACAACACTCGAGAAAGAGCAATGGGTAGTTAGAAAGAAGCCAGTTGATTGTATATATCATGTCAAAAGCAGAACAGTTGGCATTAGGGATAAGAAGAACAATACCATTAGTTACAAATTTCTTTCTTTTCTTCTTTCTGCTAGGGGGGAGGAGGAAGTGACAACCCCCATGTTGATGAATCTCTGCTAGGATGCTTGCTTGCTAGATACTAAACAAAGTGGCGGTGGTGGCGGCGGTTGCGGTGGTGGTTTCTTTGTGTCCTCCGTCTTTGGTCACTTTTCAATGATTGTTCTTTAAACGGATCGACCCAATTCTCGTCTTCAGATACTGCTTTGTTCCATCGATCCTTGAAGATCTGAAGTTCCCATGTCGATTGCTTTCTTATCTGCTCATGTTCATATCAGAACTCATTATGATATTGGAACTGATAATGAGAAGGAAACCATGTAATTAACTTCAGATTTCTAACCTCGGCTCGAACATCGTCGCCGGTTGGTATGGAGTGGCTATGTTTCTGAGTAAAAATAGCAAGAGATTTAGAATTTATGGTTACATTTGAGTACTCTGCAGATTTTCAAGAAAACTTGGACAGTAAAATTAAGCATATCGAGAACGGTCCCGATCATATGAAATTACCTTGCTTTCACCATCACCCAAAGTCTGTATGCCCTTATGAATAACATACTGGCTATCAATTACTCCCACGTTCTGTGTCCGATCGCCCTGCAGAACAAGTTAACAAATTTCGAAAGGGAAGATGAGAATAACAGGAGGAGAGTGATTTCTTAGCTGCCCTGTTTCAATTTAAGCTGTGTCAATCTCTCGAGATACTGGAGCAGTGATATGGACATGATGGGTGGCATGGGTGTGAGGGGTGTGAGGGGTGTGAGGGGTGTGAGGGGTGTGCTAGTTCAGGGACACATGAACAAGAAAGCCTTACCTGTGAACAATAGCCAAGTTTCATATCCATTCCCCATCCATGGACTAGATCATTCTGGATAAACAAAATAACATGTTAGAATGAAACTGGGGTGGTTAGGGAGGGGAAGCTCAATTGTTGATCTAGATTAAAGAAACTACCTGTATAAGATGCCAAGTACAATGCCAAGCCGTTCTCGAGAATACAGGAGCCATACCTTCTACAAATCTAGAAACGGGAATATTTCAAATTTTAGTTTATCTACCCATACAGATAGGAAACCGAGACGAAAGATGTAACAATCCAAGTCCACTGCTAACAGATATTGTCAACTTTGGCTCGTTACGTATTGTCATCTCACGGTTTTAAAATGTTTCTACTAAACAGAGGTTTCCACACCCTTATAAGGAATGTTTTGTTCCCTTCTTCAAAGGATGTTGGATCTCACAATCCACCCTCTTGAAGCCCAGCATCCTCACTGGCACACCGCTCGGTGTCTAGCTTTGAAACCATTGTAACAACTCAAATCCACGCTAGCAGATATTGTCTGTTTTAGCTCATTACGTATCATTGTCTCACGATTTTAAAATGCGTCTACTAGAAAGAGGTTTCCACACCCTTACAAAGAATGCTTCGTTTCCTTCTCCAACCGATGTGGGATTTTCACAATCCACCCCCATTGGAGGCTTAGCGTCCTTGTTGGCACACCACCCAGTGTCTAACTCTGATACCATTGTAACAGCCCAAGCCCACCGTTAATAGATATTGTCCGCTTTGACTCGTTACGTATCATCGTCAGCCTCACGATTTTAAAACGCATCTACTAGGGAGAGGTTTCCATACCCTTATAAGGAATACTTCGTTTCCTTCTCCAACCGACGTGGGATTTCACAATCCATCCCCCTTGGAGGCCCAGCGTCCTCGTTGGCACACCATCTAGTGTCTAGCTCTGATACCATTATAACAACCCAATTCCACCACTAGGGAGAGGTTTCCACACCCTTATAAGGAATGTTTTGTTCTCTTCTCCAACTGAGGTCGGATCTCACAAAATAAGAGATACTAATCTTGCTTGCATTTATATTTGATGAATCAAACCGAGATATTACTTTAAGTTTTTGTTCGACGTGTCCGAATGTTTTTTAAAATACATAGTAGAAAAGTAATGTGATTTGTTTTATTATAATAGACGAAATAAATAGCATTTGCGAGAAAACGTAAGTGCATCCAACAATCACTTACCCAACGCAAGGTGGCTGCTCACTGTGATGTGAACATTTCGTATGGCCTTTACGACCAAAAACTCGTCTGCACGGACTACTAAACGTTAGATAAGAATTTATGTGGATTACGTATGCTTCATAGAGTTCTGTTAAACCATTCCTTTTACCTGTGCATCTTCTTTGCTCGAGAACGAAGAGTAATTCTATGATGTATGTCAGTCGAATTCGGGTCCAATGCAGGCTGAGATATTTCTAGCCCTTCAGACTTCACAATTTCCAGGTAACTGAAATTTATCAAATGAGATGTTTCATCCTAATGTGAGGGTCTGATGCAGTTAGCAATTGTTTAGTAAGGTTAGGTGGTTGCAGATAGGTTAGGTGTGTGTACATGGTTGATATGTGCCTGGGTAATGAGAAAGGTCAAACATTAATATTTTCCATAAATTTTAATCGGGACAACTTGAAACGATACTACAATGTTGTAACCGCTCAAGCCCACCGTTAGCAAACATTGTCCGCTTTGGCCCGTTACATATCGCCGTCAACCTCACGGTTTTAAAACGCGTTTACTAGGGAGAGGTTTCCACACCCTTATAGAGCATGTTTCGTTCCCTTCTCCAACCGATGTGAGATCTTACAATCCACCCCCCTTGGGGCCCAACGGCCTCGCTGGCACACTATTCGGTGTCTGGCTCTAATATCATTTGCAACAGCTCAAGCCCACCACTAGCAGATATTCTCCACTTTGGCCTATTAAGTATCGCCGTCAGCCTCACGGGTTTAAAAAGCGTCTACTAAGGAGAGATTTCCACACCCTTATAAGGAATGTTTCATTCCCCTCTCCAACCTATGTGGGATCTCACAATCCACCCTCTTGGGGCCCAGCATCCACGCTAGCACACTGCTCGGTGTCTAGTTTCGATACCATTTGTAACAGCCCAAGTCCACCGCTAACAGATATTGTCCGTTTTGGCTTGTTACGTATTGTCTTCAGCCTCACATTTATAAAACGCATCTACTAGGGAGAGATTTCCACACCCTTATAAGGAATGTTTCGTTCCCCTCTCCAGCCAATGTGGGATCTCATAAATGTGATGAAGCCAAAGAAAGATCAAGTTACGAGGGAAAGAACGATTCAAATAACAGGGAGAGTATTGATGATTTCATGATAAGAACCTTTAAAGATAAACGAGTTTATTTCTATACCTTCTTGGATTGAAATTTGTGACCCCCAAATCTTCATCCCAAAGAAATATGTAATCATAAACGGCCACAACTGCCGGTGGCAAAAAGCGCTTTGCATACCACCTGAAGAGAAACAAAAGACGAGAAACCATTAAAATCAAGCAGCAGCCGTTCTAAGTCCATACACGATTGGCGATTTCTTAGTCATAGAGGGGCAAAATGCAGAGGAGTCGAACATACCACTTCGTTTGGTTTCGAGCAGCTATATGTATAGCATCGTTACTCCAGTCAAGATCCCACCATCCATCGACATTGCCATCATAATGAAAGAGTATAATAGTAAAGTTCTCTGGAATAAACTGGAATGAATGGAGTTAGATACAGAATAACTCCAATGAATATGATTAATATCAAATGATAGCAAGATCATACTTTCTGTACAATAGAATCAACATTATCCTTTTGTTTAATGCCAACTGGAATTGCGAGCAAATTACGTTTGCTGTAATCATCAGCCTGAAATTTATACGAGCATGACATGAACTACTAGAATACATTGTAGTATAAGCCTTACAAAACAAAATAGCGATAGAACTCAACCTAGAACACATTGTAGTATAAGCCTTACGAAACAAAATAGCAATAGAACTCAACCTGTAACCTCGAACTACTAGTTCCCCATAGAGGTCTCAACTCCAGATCTGATCTAGCTTCTACTATGCCACGAGGCAATTCATTCAAGGTTCTAGACTCCTCTATGAAGTCCTAAAAGTGCATTTACAAGAATTGGTGAAGATGGTGAGAATTTATTTTCAATGCTCCTTATTCAAGCATGTAGATGCAGCAAGAAAGTTTCTTGACTACTTAATAAAATTTAAATACTTATGATAACAGGATTTTTAACATGGGCAGGAACGGGAGGCAGGGAGGGAACCGATATCGTCAAACATGGGCAGGAATGACAGGATTTTTACCTTTGCGTTCTCGAAGGGCTGCAAGATTGTTTCAATCTGTAGAGGGAAAAAGAGTTAAGTATAGCTTGAACTTATAGACCAAACTGGATGAGTATCTGTGTATGATCTATTCACTACAGATGAGAACCTCAAAGGTGAAATCTTAACAGTGTATGATCAAATAGACATTTTCCTCAAGGCTTCTAAAACGCGTATGTTAGGAAGAGGTTTCCACACCTTTATAAAGAATGTTTTGTTCCCCTCTCTAACCGATATGAGATCTCACAATCCACCTCCTTTAGGGCCCAATGTCCTC